TCCCTCTATTTCTGTTCTGGGGACAATCCAAAATTTAGGAAGTTCTTTAACTTGCACTATTGGTGGTGATGATAAACCAGAGGGTGATCCCTAATGGGGAACACAGGCTGCAATAAAAAAAACTTGACAAGTGTTCTAATCCCTCTTCTCTCTATCGAAAACTAAAAAAAAGCCTTTAGTTATACTTTAACATGTAAAATCCTGAAGTATCTAAAAATATTTTTAAAAATGGCCCATTTTCTGTTCTTAATGCCTTTTTATAAAGTGGTAGTAAACCGCATATGGAAAAAAAAAAAAAAGAAAAAAAACCCTGCAAGGTAAAGGCATAATGTGATAGGATAAATTTGCATACTAGCACAAATATGAAGGACTTACCTTGAAACTAAGCCCTCCAGCGCAGCGTAGTGCTGTCATGGCTCCACAGGGCTTCCATCATCACCTGGTCTTCCTTCCGGGTTTGTGAGCTCTGCCTGACTGGCAGAGGGATTTTTTATTTTTTGACACTAAACTCTCCTGCCAGAAAACAGTGGCTAAAAGATTGTGCATTAACACATAAGATAACATGCAGGGGAGTTTAGAAGCCGTTAAAAAAAAAAAAAAAAAAAAACTTAAAACAGCAGCTGTAAAAACACCCAGTGTTCATTAGGCCTAAATATCACTTGTGTGTTTTTAATAATAAAAAAAAAAAACACACACGTAATCGCTCACAATTTGTCATTTGTGATAACTGGTGCCCTCCCTTTATTGCTGACCAGTTGTGCTTTCCATTTGTGCTGGAGAAGAGTATCCCCTTACATACACTATATTGCCAAAAGTATTGGGGCGCCTGACTTTACACACTCATGAACTTTAATGGCATCCCAGTCTTAGTCCGTAGGGTTTAATATTGAGTTTACTCACCCTCTGCAGCTCTAACATCTTCAACTCTTTTGGGAAGGCTGTCCACAAGGTTTAGGAGTGTGTCTATGGTGGGTGTCGGCAACCCGCGGCTCCAGAGCCGCATGCGGCTCTTTTTCACCTTGGCTGCGGCTCCGGAGCACACTGCCCACCAGGTGACAGGCAATAAGGCAGCAATGGGCAAACTACGGCCCGGCGGACCTTTTAAATCCGGCCTGCGGAGCTAGGCTCCCGCTAGGCTCCTCTCACAGTCCGCCCTGAAGACCGATGTAGCATGAAAATCTGTCTCCTATGAGGATCTGTCCCCCTCGACGTATCTGCGCATGTGCCGGAGATCGCCGATCAGCTGCTAATGCCTGAAACTGGCACATGCGCAGATACGTAGAGGGGGACAGATCCTCATAGGAGACAGATTTTCATGCTACACCGAAACGGCGCGGGAACACGGCGAGAGGAACGCGCAAAGCAAAGGTAAGTGAATTGACACAGGGGGGATTTGGGGACTTAATATGGGGGATGAATTAATATGGGGGATGAATTACTATATGGGGGATGAATTACTATGGGGGATGAATTACTATATGGGGGATAAATTACTATATGGGGGTTGTATTTTCAGTTTTAAAAATGTGGCTCTCAAAATAAATTTCAATCGTGGTTTTGGCGAGATTTGGCTCAGTTGAAAAAAAAGGTTGCCCACCACTGACCTAAGGCTATGATTGTGATTATGACGATACACTGTGGCCCTGATTAACCCTTTGCTTACTGGGCCCTTAAACCCCCTTCATGACCAGAGCGCTTTTTGCAATATATGCAGTGTCGGATTTGTTTTAAATGTTGCAATGGTTTTGCGGCTCCCAGTCTTTTTTTCCCTCTCGGAAACGGGTCCAAGTGGCTCTTTATGTCTTAAAGGTTGCAGACCCCTGGTCTATGGGAATGTTTTTGACCATTCTTCCAGAAGCGCATTTGTGAGTTCAGGCACTGATGTCAGACGAGTAGGCATGGCTCGCAGTCTTCACTCTAATTCATCCCAAAGGTGTTCTATCGAATTGAGGTCAGGACTCTGTGCAGGCCAATCAAGTTCCTCCATCCCAAACTCGCTCATCCATGTCTTTATGGACCTTGCTTTTTGCACTGGTGTGAAGCCATGTAGGAACAGGAAGAGGCAATCCCCAAACTGCTCCCACAAAGATGGAAGCATGAAATTGTCCAAAATGTCTTGGTATGCTTACGCTTTAAGAGTTCCCTTCATTGGAACTAAAGGGCCAAGGCCAACCCCTGAAAAATAACCCCCCCCTCCACCAAACTTTACACTTGGCACATAACAGTCAGGCAAGTACCGTTCTCCTGGCAACTGCCAAACCCAGACACTTCCATTGGATTGCCAGACAGAAGTGTGATTCGTCACTCCAGAGAACATGTTTCCACTGCTATAAAGTCCAGTGCCGGCGTGCTTTACACCACTGCATCCGACACTTTGTTTTGCACTTGGTAATGTAAAGCTTGGATGTGGCTGCTCGGCCACGGAAACCCATTCCATGAAGCTCTTTACACACTGTTGTGCTAGTCTGAAGGCCAAACGAAGTTTCAGGTCTTTAGCTATTGACTCTGCATACAGTTGGTAACTTCTTCACACTGTGCGCATCAGCATGCGCTGACCCCACTCTGTAATTTTATGTGGCCAACCACTTCGTGGCTATGTTGCTGTTGTTCCCAGTTGCTTCCACTTTGTTATAATACAACGAACAGTTGACTGTGGAATATTTAGCAGCAAGGAAATTTCACGGATGGACTTATTGCACAGGTGGCAACCTATCACTGTAACACGCTTGAATTCACTGAGCTCCTGAGAGCTACCCATTCTTTCACAAATGTTTGTAGACAGTCTGCATGCCTAGGTGCTTGATTTTATACACCTGTGGTCATGGAGGTGATTGGAACACCTGAATCCAATGATTTGGAGGGCTGGCCCAATACTTTTGGCAATATAGTGTATCTTGTATAGCAAATGAAGACAACTTCAAACTTTTCCTTTTTCTGGTGATGCAACTAGGGTTTCCACATGGCCAGTAAATATGGGACTTGGGATCATAAGTCCATTCATTTTTTTTTTTTTTTTTTTTTTTTTTTTAAGATGGCCACTATTGACACAATTCATTTGTGTCAGTCTTTCAGAATCTGTGCCATTGGAATTTACTGAAGGGCTGCAAATGGCAAATACATTAACAGCAAAAAAGTAAATACTACCATTGTGGATTGCAATTGATTAAGCTGTTTCTAGATCTATGTGGCTTAAATTTATGCTAATTACAATGTTTTCGTTAGCAGGGATCTTTCTATTAGACTCTCTGGGTATAGCAATGGTTATGCACAGCTATAGACCTAGAATGTGTAAATGTGTTTCCCTTCGTCATTCTTATTTTCATTCTCCTTAAACCAAATATTCTTCATGCAAAACTGGCACAATTTTGAGGTGCTTTTTTTTAAATAAACGTAAATACATATAGTTGTATTTTTAGCTATATGAATGTTCACATTTGACCTACCGTATTTGCCGGCGTATAAGACGACTTTTTGACCCTTGAAAATCTTCTCAAAAGTCGGGGGTCGTCTTATACGCCGGTACACATGTTTAGGGGGGCTGCGGCATTAAGTACAGGGGTTTGCAGGGGCTGATGTCTCTTACCTGGATCCAGTCCCACGACGATCCGGTCCAGGAAGCGCGGCGTCTCCTTCAGTTCGGCCACTGGATGTTCGTGCGGCTGCTCGGCTCCGCCTCCTCACCGGTGATTGGCCGCCAGAACTGTAGCTCAGGAAAGGCACACAGGCGGCCAATCACCGGCGAGGGGGCGGAGCCGAGCGGCCCCGCGAAAAATTGAGTGCCGGAGCAGCAGGTAAGTGTTCTGTGTAGAGGTGCTGCTGCAACCACATATGCTGGCTGCAGCAGCAGCACCATACGAGAACAGGGTCAGCAAGTCTCAGTGGGAGGAATAGTGCCCCATCATTGGTGTCACTGATACCAATGATGGGCACTATTCCTCCCATGACACCAACGATGGGGCACTATTCCTCCCCCCCACTGACACCAATGATGGGGCACTATTCCCCCCCCCCCACTGACACCAATGATGGGGCACTATTCCCCCCCCCACTGACACCAATGATGGGGCACTATTCCACCCCCCACTGACACCAATGATGGGGCACTATTCCACCCCCCACTGACACCAATGATGGGACACCATTCCTCCCACTGACATCAATGATGGGGCACTATTCCTCCCACTGACACCAATGATGGGGCACTATTCCTGCCACTGATACCAATGATGGGGCACCATTCCTGCCACTGATACCAATGATGAGGGCACTATTCCCCCACTGATACCAATGATGGGGCACTATTCCTCCCACTGATAGATGGGGCACTATTCCTGCCACTGATACCAATGATGGGGCACTATTCCTCCCACTGCCACTGTTCCTCCCACTACACAATGATGGGGCACTATTCCTCCACTAATAGTAATGATAGGACACTATTCCTGCCACTAATGCCAATGATGGGGCACTATTCCTGCCACTATACCAATGATGGGGCACTATTCCTCCCACTGACATCAATGATGGGCACTATTCCTCCCACTGGTGTGCATTGGAAGAGGGGTAGTCTTATACGGCCAGTAATAGCCCAAACACTACATTTTAGCAGGAAAAGTAGGGGGGTCGTCTTATACGCCCAGTCGTCTTATACGCCGGCAAATACGGTAATTTTTTTTTTCTGCATGAATGTTTTGGTTTCTATGATACTGACTGTGGTCTTTGCTACAATAACTTTTATATTTTCAGTCTGTGAAATCGGCTAAGCCCTATAATTGATAAGCAGATTGATCTTTACAGTTTTAAGTTTTATATTGTTACTTAATTGGGGTTGTTAGAAAAGCATTTCCAGCCATTATTGTGCTTCAAATTGCTTAATAACTTTCTCTAAGTCTTTTAATGTGAAAATATTCTTAGCATTCGTGAGCAAGTAAGACTAATTATATGCATCTCCAGCAAAAGGCCATTAACGTTTCTTCCTGTTTCTTGTCGAATTGATGTAGGTCATAATGATTACGGTTATCAGCAACCGTCGTATCCTGAACAAGGCTACGATAGGCCTTACGAGGATTCCTCACAACATTACTACGAAGGAGGTATCTATATACCTTCACACTCTCACACACACACACACACACACACAAACACATACATATATATACACATATCTATTTTCATTTGCAACCCCCCTGGAATGATAGATCTTTCACACAACATATTAAGTTGTACAACAGAGCTCTAAATGCTGGCTTACTTTTTGGCTTTTCACTACAAAGCTAGGTCTCAAACATCGTATTTTTCACAAGCACTCACTGACAGTAGCGAAAACATGCTCATTTTCCCAAGTTTGCCAGAAAAGCAACCCTTACTTAGCAACCCATTAGATCTTTCTCCAAGCTATCTTTCTACATGCACACATTTTGTCTTTTAGGAACCAGCTTTTTGATCTTGTCTAGCTAGTCTGTGCTCTTTCAGCTGTCTCAATGTTTTACTTTACTCTTGCTATCATGGTCACAAGACTGTGATACTTTAACTTTATTGCTCGTTTGCCAAGGATGCTCCAACAACAATGCTGCAGTCCAAACTTGCAAAACTAGCTTTAAGTTTGTGGGCTGATTTCCTTATGTTTTGATTATTTTTTTTGTTTTGGTGTTTAGCATTTTTATATTGGTTTTGTAATTTATTTTTTATTTTTTTCCCCTGTTTTGGTGTTGGTTGTAAACCTGTGGATTTAAACTGGGCATTCATTTTTCTTCCTTTCTAAATTATCCTTAGGTAATGCTCAGTATGGACAACAACAAGAAACCTATCAAGGTCCACCACAGCAACAGGGATACCCACCTCAGCAGCAGCAGTACCCTGGCCAGCAAGGTTATCCACCCCAGCAGCAAGGTTATGGTATGTATTAATCCATTTGTGTACTAGATTTAAATCTCATAGGGCTGGTTTTATTTAAATGTAAATGGCCTTCAACAGCAAGAGTATAGATCTCAGCAACAGCAGTACCCTGGCCAGCAAAGCTGTCTGCCAGAGCATGGTTATCGTAGGTCTTGTTAGCCTGTTAGTGATCATCTGTAGTAGATTTAAATCCCATAGGCTGGTTATAATACATGTAAATTGCCCTTAGAAATCAGGAGTTGAATATTCCTTAGCTGTTGATTCATTTATACAGCTGTGTCTCTCTAAATTTTGCCAGATATGTCCGCTGAAATACTTAGCTGGTAGCATTATATGTGTCACAGCATTGACCGCAAGTGAACAAACCTTTTAAAGAAAATTAGTACCCTAATGGAGTACTTAATTTAGCATATCTTTAACCACATGCTTACATGATGACGGCTACAGCACGGTCATCCAGTTCTGGGAGGGCGTCATATGATGTCCTTCCAGAACGTGCACTCCGGTGATCTCCGTTATCGCTGTGTCCGTAGGACACTTCTGATCACGTGATGAGGTAAAAGGCCAATCACAGCAGCCTTTTACCATGTGATCAGTTGTGTCCAATGACACGGCAGATCACTGAGTAAATACAGTTTACGGTTATTGGCTGCACTTTGACAGTGTAAGGAAAGTACTGCCGTTAACCGACAGCTGTCAACGAGCAGGTCGGCACTGATCATCAGAGCATTGATGATCAGTGCCCTGCAGTGCCACCCATCTATGCCCAGCAGTGCCGACCATAAGTGTCGCCTATCAATGCCCATCATTGCTGCATATCAGTGCAGCATCATCACTGTCTCTTCATTAATGCTCTGGCTGGTGTTTAGCTTTTGTTCATTGATAGTAAGATCTGAAATAGGGTTTCCCAGGGGTTGCAGACTAAATTTTTATATAGAATGTTTTTAATTACATTTTTCACCCGTATCCACAGTTTCGCAACTTTTGCACATTGCCACCAAGTGTGGTGTAGTGTTCTTAGTGCTCTGTATCCTCATAAGTAAAGTGGAGGTTTTTCTTTACTTTTCAATCATTCTTCTTTTCTTCAGACAATTCTGTCAAGATCTGACTGCTTGTTGACCTGGGCAGTCTAGAAGTTTCTTGATCGGTAACTATATTTACCTTGGAGACCATACCCCACTGTGTGAAACTGGCCTTTAATGTTGCTTCAGGCCCTGCAACCTTCTTTAGGTGCTCCCCTTGGCACATTGTTGCATCACAAGTAATTAGTCACAGGGCGCTTATACATTTTCAGAGTTGAAAATCTCTATGCTTCCTGAAGACCTCTTTGGGAGTATGCCCATTGTGACAGGTGAAGCCTGGACCGTTAATGGGTCTAGCACTTGGGATACGTTAAGACGGTACTTCCCTGTAATCTGGTTAATTCCTGGCTATAAAGAAGCTGCAGTGCTTAGTACACAAAGCAGATACGCAGGCATAGGAGTGCCACTTTATTGTGTTACTTCCTGTTTTGTTTATTTCAAATGGTTTTAGCGCCATTAGTATTTCTGCTTAAAAAGCAAATTCTGTCACCTTGATTGTGGCTCCACACCCCTTCCACCTGTGCCACAAAGTTCAATAGTCCTTTGCATGCATAGATGTGCCAAAGAGCTCTGCTAGGCCTTTTGGACCTGGCACAGCCCTTGGCTTATCTGATTATGCTTACACATGGAAGCCACACCATTCTTTCTTAGCCAAGGAGGAAGTGCTGGCCTGTAGCACTTAAAAAGTCTAATTGTGGTGGAAGGAGGGGTTGGAACCAGGTACACTCAAATTGTCTTTTGGGGTGAAGGGCTGCTTTAATTTTAAAGTTTGTGGTCTTTTTCTATCCATACCTAATCTCAGGATAGAGGATAGGGAACATAGTCAGAATACACCTCTTGGCAGAGGTGCTTCTGCCCTCCATATCTGCACACCAGATATGAAGTGCACACCATGTTTGCTGCATTTCCTGCCACCTTCTGCTACAGAGATTCATCCTAGGAACGTGGTCAGCCCCTGGATTATAGTACATTCTATATTCCAGATATGCAAATACTTCTATCTTCCATATCCATTCTGTACCCCTCAGGGACCCCTTTCTTTAGCAATTGCAGATCGCAGGTGCAAAGGTAACTGGGACAAAAGCACTGAATAGCTTGCACTCTGCTGATAGCCAACAGGAAACTCAAAGCATCCTTCGGGGTGATATCTATTCCCTTGTTATGGAAAAATTTGCTGTTATGATAGCTCCCTTTCAGGAACGCTGTTTTCCAAGAATTCAAAGCTAGTAGCAAAAAAAAAAAATCTTCTGTTTTCGAACTATTGGCACTCCCAAAAGCTTAGGTTTCCAGAGGCAAAAAATTATACAATTTTCTCCCTCTTAACTCTGTTACTGAATCACAGAGGGAACCTCCAGACCTCTTTGAGGATGAAATGGTGGAAAGTGATTAAGACACACAGTAGTAGAAGCTGTAGAGGAATTTTTGACCACCGCATTTTATGAGCAAGAAGCTTGACATGGGGTGAACTCGCCTTTGCCTAGCAGCACCTGATTTTCCACAGCTAAAACCAGTCCCTATGGGCACAAGGAAGCTGGCAAAATCAAAGAAGCCTTTTCCTCTCCATGCACAAGGACACTGCAAGTGTGAGGAGGCCTTAAAGCGGTATTCAAAGTCGAACCACGTGCAGTAAATGAGGATTGGCCTAATCCTGAAAGGATATCTACTTTTCTTAGGCTTTTTGCTGAAATATATTCAATAGAAAAGAAATTCAAGAAATAATGGTCTGCTCCAGCAGTAGATCCTCCCATTTCAGTCCTCCGTAAACACCTTTCAGTTTCTATTCATGATGTTCTTCTTTTAAAGGTTTTGTTGATAGGCAATTTGAAGCCCTCTTTAAACACTTGCCCTCCAGAGGATATTTTTTGCGTTATAAAAGCACAAAAGACCAAAAATGTTGAAAAAAAGCGATATTTTTCCAAGCTCAAATTTCGTCATAATTTTAGCCCAAAATTTATTTTGCTACATGTCTTTGGTAAAAAAAAAAAAAATCCCAGTAACTATATTAATTGGTTTGTGTGAAAGTTATAGCGACTACAAACTATGGTATAGATTCTGGAATTTAAACAGATTTCTGACTATCACATTTCTTGAGGTGCTAAAATGCCAGGGCTGTACAAACACCTCCAAATAACCACTTTTGGGAAAGTAGACACCCTAAGCTATCTGCTGAGAGGCATGTTGAGTGCATGGAATTTTTTTTTTTTCTTTTTCTTACACAAAGTTGTCACTTAAATGGTATATTGCTCACACGTGCCATGGGTATATTTTGGAATTACACCCCAAAGTATATTCTTCTACTTCTCCTGAGTATGAGGATACCACGTGTGAGACTTTTTGAGAGCCTAGCCACATACAGGAGCCCGAAATCCAATGACCACTTTGAAAGCCTGAAGGTGCGTAACTTCCTGATTTCACTTCCTCACTACTTATCACAGTTTTGGAGGCCCTGAAATACTAGGATAGCACCAAAGCTCCCCCCCCCCCCCCCATGACCCCTTTTTTGAAAGTAGACAAACACAAAAAGGGGTAGTTTTTGGTTGGGGAATGTTATGCCCCGCATTAGAAGTTTATGCCACACATCACTCACTCCTCTAACCACCTGAAGACAAAGCCTTTTCTGACACTCTGTTCACATGAAACAAGTCAGTATTTTTTGCTAGGAAATTACTTTGAACCCCCAAGCATTATATATTTTTTTAAAGCAGACACCCTAGTGAATAAAATAGTGTCACATAGTACTCACGCAGTGATTTTTTTCAAACGCAATTTAAAAAAAAAACAAACTTTTTTTTTTTTTTTTTTTTTTTACTTTTAATGCGCAAAAACACAATATATTGCCAATATATTTGTTTGGTAAAATATAAAAGATTATGGTATGTCGAGTAAATTGATAAGAAACATGATATGTTTTAAAACTGCGCACGCCCCGTGCAATGGCGACAAACTGCATACATTTTTCATATCCATAGGCGATGCTTTAAAAGCCTATGCAGGCTACCATTTTAGATTTACACAGGAGGTCTAGTGCTAGAATTGCGGTCTTCAATCTGACATTTGCGGTGAAAAAAAAAAAAATTTTTTTTTTTTTGTAATTATTTTTACACTGTCCCTTTTTTATTATCACAGGGAATGTAAATATCCCCTGACAGCAATAGGCAGTGACATGTATTATTTTTCTAAGAAATCTGGGGTCTATTAGACTCTAGATATCTCCTCTGCTCTTACATCATCTGATCTCACCAAGACTGGTGTGATCAGATGCTTTCCCAATTTAAAAATGGCGCTGTTTAATTCCTGCGAAACTGAAGTTGTGAAATGCTCATTGCTTCCGGTTTCTTAGACTCTAGGGATGGTTGGTGCCATTCCCGTCTCCAATTGGCTCTATGGTCAGCTGGCAGAAACACTGGCTGCATTCTCAGGTTTCCCTGATGGCATGGGACTGCCCGAGAAATCCATATAAGGCGGGGGGGTTGAAAAAAATGATACCAGGATGATGCCTACAGCCACAGACATCATCCTGGTATAACCACTCAAATTCCAGTGATGTACCAGTATGTCGCTGGTCTTTGGGTATATATGCTATGCTTTTTTTTTTTTTTCTGCAGCCTGTGGGCTGAACGAAAAAAAGAGAAGAAATCTCTGCCAGAAAAAGTGTGTGATATGCCTACCATTAGACTATACTGCCGTGCATCCACCCACTTCTAAAGATGGGCACAAATAAAATGTTTTTTCTTCTTTTTTTTTTTTTTTTTAAACTGTGGATGAAAAATCTCATCCAACAGCACTGCAGCACTGAACGCACCAGTGCTGCAGAGGAATGGCATTCCTGCAAAGAAAACGGCAACAGTTAAAACTGTAACACAATACAACGTTTTTGTTGAATTTTGTTTAAAAAAAATATTATATATATGCCAAAGCGTAGGGGCGAT